CCGTCATGGTCACTTACGACTACGGTGGAGGACCGAGAGCTACCTTCGTGACGTACAACCTATGAGGAAGTCGCGTGAACCTGAACCCTAGGGTGCTGCATAATGCCGGAGCGGCCTGCGCGGAAGCTATCCTTTTTGCATTCTTCCATTCTTTCTTGATGTCCTGCTTCGTTTTATCTTTAGATACCATCATGGTTTGCATGGAGTTGGTGGGTGTTCTTTATTTGTATGGCTACGTTTTTACGAAGGGCCAAATCCAGTCCTTATCATCATCGGGATACCTACCTGACTATTGTCATCATTATTACCGCCGTTCCTTAGGAATGAAAACTAATCTTGATCATCATATTCGAATTCTCTTTTGCACCTATTTCGCCCATTGATTACCTATAATTTTGCCTCTCGTATAACAGCAGCCACGCCAGCTCGTATTTTCAACCAGTACCCAATATTCCAAGATGCTTAATTATACGTTCCAGCAAAATCAAAGAGACGTCAAAGGAGTGGACGCACTCGGTGTAAAAAGAATAATGCTTGTTAAAAAAATAATTTGACTGCCCCCACTCAGGATCGAACTGAGGACCTCATCATCTCAAAGGAGATATACAAGTGATGCGCTCTACCACTGAGCTATAAGGGCTTTTGCTTTACTAAGCTTTGCCTACAGTAGCCTATACGGGAAAGCGCCAAGCGTGCCTATTCAGGGGCTTGAAATGAGTTGCGATGCGAGCATCAGGAGAAACTGCCCGAACAGCAGTGAAGGCTGACACGAGCAGAGGCTGGAAAATAACTAGCACCAACTGCAATGTTCGCAGTAGTTTTGTTATCGCGGCATCTGGAATCTATACCTTACCGGATTGCGGATATCGAACGACTTTCACATGTTCCTTGCTAGGGAGTAAAAGGCTGCATTATGCATGTACTGAGCTATTTACCCAAAAGCCACCCAAGGACTCGAGGAGCGGTCAAAACAACTTTCAAAGCTGTGGCCGTTGCGGTACGCCCTCCACCAGTTACTATGCACACGCTTTAAATGAAATACCGTTGACATTCGTAATTATAACAACACATTAAGCGGACATTAAAACTATTCCTGTAGCCACCATATACGGCATAAGCACGTTAAACACTAAATCGTGAGGCAATCGCTCATAGAGACCTCAAGTCGCTGCCTCTTAAAAGGTACAGTTCGTAGGCGGCTCCGCACCCCTGACGCGGTTACCAACGTCGCTAACATAGCTGGACCTGCCAACCCCCTTGCTCAGGTCCTGCTTGTCAGGCACGCTTCCGGAGTTGTAGCAGCGGAGCGCCTGTCCAACGTTGTTGTTGTTCTGCTCCATGCAGCTTATGAGACCCTGGAACACGTCCGTACCGTTGACACCGCAGTCCACCATGTCTTGGATCTGGGAGGCTGAGCACTTGCCCTTCTCAACGCCATAACATGAGGCCTTGCAGCCGCGCACTTGCATGATACCTACAGATTTCCCGAGGTCACCTGCTTTTGTGTGGCAGTTTGCTCTGGACTCTTCCAGCATAATTGAGTACAGAAGAGTACTGCATAAGAACACAGTTAGTAATGAAACGACTAGAAAGTGGGATGGGCGGAAAACTTACGCGTTGATCGAGCTGTTGCTCTCAGCCTGCAAAATGCTCTTGCGGATAGCCTCAATCTCATCGTCACTGTTGAAGCCCTGCATTTCTTGCAGGTTTGCTTCAAACAGGGAGTTGAACGTAGCCCATTCCTGTTCGACAGGGAACTCTGAGCCAGTGTAGCAACGAGATTGAGCAGAGGAAGATGGCGTAGATGGACTTAAACTGGGCACTGATACCACAGTTGACTGCACTGGTTGCGTCACGACAGGAGCAGCGAGACTAGCAGAACTCGAGATTATCGGGGAAGCAGTCGCTGTTGCAACAGTCGGTTGAGGCGCCACATCGACGGGGTTCGAGGTAGGGGAAGGCGAACGACCCCTTGTTTGTGTGTTCTCAGGTGAGACCACAGCAGTTGAGGACGGGACAGGTACCACATCTGAAGTAATCTGGACGAAGGGCATCGATGAAGTCTGGGGAGCATATGTCGCATGGGAAGTGGTTTCCTGTGAAGCTGAGGACAGGGCAGAAGTGATCTGGAAGAACGGCGTCGACGAAGTCTCGGGAGCATATGTCACATGCGAAGTGGTTGCCTCCGCAGCTGAGGACGGGGCAGAAGTGATCTGGACGAAGGGCGTCGATGATGTCTGAGGAGCATATGCCGCCTGCGAAGTGGTAGCCTCCGCAGCTGAGGACGAGGCAGAAGTGATCTGGAAGACGGGCGTCGACGAAGTCTGGGGAGCATATGTCACATGCGAAGTAATTGCCTGCGTGGTGCTCTGGACAATGGAAGAAGTGAACGAAGAGCTGTGGACCGGCAGTGGTGACTGATCGACCGACTTCAAAAACCACTCTAACAGCTCGACAACCGCTGAGAGAATTGTCTCGACACTATCAACGATATCTTCTAAACCGTTACGCTCGGCGAGCTGCGCTGGCGCAGCATTTCCGAGGCCGGCAAAGAGCACCAATGCCGAAAAGATGGGCAGCTGCAATGTTGTTAGCGGCACCGCCTTTCTGAGATCTTCGGGTTACTTACCAAAGAGAAGCGCATGATGATTTAGGGCCCGCGGACTGCAAAGCAAGTTTGTTTCTCTCTCTAGCACGCTTTCATAAGAAGTGAGAGAACGGCCCGTGAGGGAGAAAGCCGGGCCATCCTTCAGGCGCCTGCAAGCACTTTATACTAAGCATCTCCCAGGCTATTTACATGGCTTTCACGGCAAGCAATTGCACATGGACTCAGGCCTGCAGTGTGGGCGCCCCAGTTTGACCGGCCCGTACAGCGTAATGGAGAGCGAGGCTGGTCAGGAACATCTCAACAAAATCCTCCAGGCAACAAGAGCAGGAACGGGTAAAAATGAAGGATATAGTGCAAGCAAACACCCCATAACAACCATGCTGCGAGTGGTTAAGACCAGCGTGAAAACGCCACGCCGAGGTGGACACCGCCGACAACGTTCCTCATGCAAGTGATCGAACCGTTGCGACTCCCCTTGCACAACTTCTCGAAAGACAGTAAAGCCTGATTAATGGGTAGAGACAATGTTCATGACTCTTCTCTGCTCCGCATCTGCTGCGTAAAGGTATGCCCCAATATGACAGCTCTTAAACGGCCCTGATTTTGACTAGCATACCCGTCATGATGTCGACCCCAACGCTTCCAAGGTGATTCCTAACGTTTTGGTGCCCGTCTGAACGGAGCTATCCGAGCCCGAAGCCGTGAGTTGCTCGTGGGCCTGAACCTGCATGGCCCCGTCGTGGAAATTCTAGATCATGTAGCTTTTCTATAGCACAAGAAAGCT